TACTACTACTACTATTTTGAATTTATTAATTTTGCCATCAGATTAATGTTCAGTTACCTGAAAAATTTTTCATTTTGCATAAAATATAATTTAAAAATAATTAATAGATTCTTCATGATGTGTGTACAGACGGGTGGTAATCATATCTATCCGTTAGAGAATAGCTATTTTGTACTCTAAATGGTAAGATATAAATGCACCCATGTGCACATATGGGTAGCAATTTACTCCATTTGCACGATTTCTTATATGAACACATACTTATTTAACACAATGCACAAGATGATACTAATATTTGCAACTTTGTTTAATAAATAAAATGCGTTAATTTCATGTGTCGATCCAAATAACAGCGTATTTTTTATTGTGATGAGATTTACTGCGCTAATCGTAAACTGCAGATGGAGAATCTGAGTTTATATTTTAACTGCACATTATAAACCGCGCTTAGCGCAGAATGCATTTTGACAGTATTAACTGCGACCAGCGCAGAATGCATTTTGACAGTAAACACTGCGATCAACGCAGAATGCATTTTGACAGTAGTCACTGCGGCTAGCGCAGAATGCATTTTGACAGTAAACACTGCGATCAACGCAGAATGCATTTTGACAGTAGTCACTGCGGCTAGCGCAGAATGCATTTTAACATTACTTATTACTACAATTGCCTTTATGCTTAAAATCTGTAAAAAAATATTAATGACATCACTCGAAATCAATAAAAAGTGAAAACTTTAACAAATCATAACTGTGGCCATAATAGGTGATTTTACATATGTTTTACATTCCTCAGTTTTTGACATTTTGTCTTTATTTCTGTTGATCTTGCAGATATTGTATTTTGTCCATCTCTTCCTCCAGTATTATTTTTTTTGGTAATTGCGTATATTTTGACCCTTAACATAAAGTCCAACATTTGGATCCTATGTGAATAACACTCGTTATTCTGGTCAAACCAATGGTCATCTGCATTTTCGACGTGTTTTACACAAATATCAAGAAATTCTTTCTTCACATTTTTAAAATGCCAATACTTCTTGTGCCATGAATTCAATGCTTCAAGTTGAAGAGCGACAATATTCGTAAAAGTATCCGTTGGTCTTGATAGCCATTTAATTTCAGGTTCATCTTCGTCTTCGTGTTTATATTCACGTAGTTGAATATAGATCTCGTTATCATTTAATCCTTCCATCGGTGTTTTTAAATTTGTTTCACGGCAGCTGTCACATTTAGTATTTTCGTAACTGTGACGAGCAATACCCTGCAAAATATGCAATTGAGTAGATAGGCTAGGTTACTACTACCTCAAGGCCGCCGCGCACGGCGCGGGGAGGGGGGTATGCAGCCGGGGTGGGGGTGGTGGGGAAGCCCCACCCCCTTCCACACGCCCACATGGGGTGGGGGGAGGGAAGTCCCACCCCTTTCACACGCCCACATGGGGTGGGGGCAAGGCCCCACCTTCGCACAGGCCCACGTGGAGGTGGGGTCCAAGCCCTCCTCCACACAGGTCCGCGCGGAGGATGGGGGCAATGCCCTCCTTCCCGGACAGCATACCCGCGCTCCCGCGCCGCCACGCGGCGTCCTCGGTTACTACCGGCGCGCCATCGCGCAGAGCAACAGAGGCAATGAGTCATGCACGCGCGAGCCGCATGGATCCCCCCCCCACCACCATAAGAGAGAGAATAAAATAATCGCGGAGAAAAAAAGCCGGCTCGCCGGGACTCGAACCCGGCTCGCGCGGCTGACAGTCTGACGTCAAACGCATGCGGCTATCGCGTACACTTGAAGACACAGGGGAAAGAACCGAGTATATAGGTTGCGTACACTGCGTGCGCACTATACTATAGGCCGGTTCTACCCCGGGAGCTCCGAGGGGAGTGCGGGGCGGGGGTATCTAGCCACCTAGCTGCGGAAACAATATAAAAAAAACGACGGCTCGCCGGGAGTCGAAACCGGTTTGCATAGGAAACCGGTTTGCATAGAAGTCGCTCGCGCGCGGTGATGCGTGGAGAGAACATCTCTCTTGCGATGTGAACGGTATAAAATTAGTGTCAAGCATACGAGATTTAGTGGTATGACTAGTCCTCATCGTAAGTGTTCTGAGTTGTAGAGTTTACGCAATATCCGTGCGAGTAGTGGTCTGTATGAGGTCATCTATCGCCGCCAAGCATCTTTCTTTCTCTCGTTGTGAATGGTATACATGTATAGGCAAGCATACGAGAAGTCCGGAAGCGTTCAAGGATATGTTGTTTTCAGTTTTTTATCGGGTAGGTGCGTCAGGTTGCTCATCCGGCGTCCCGTGGGCGACGCAGGAGGAATAAAAAGTGCGAGCGATCGGGCGTTGGTCGCATCGCGTATCGCGTCTACCGTAGAGGTCTGTTATGAGCAGGTCCACTAATTGTACGAGAGACCGTATTGACGAAGAAGAGGATATATATTGCTACGAGACGGTATCCTCGAACACGTCAATAAACGATGTAGAGCAGGATGAAGCGGCGAGTAACAAAAAATATACCATATGCGAATGTGTGGTGAAGGAAGATGCGCGATGGAATGTCGCGAGTTATTATACGAGGAGAGAAATTGGCGCCAATTGTTCGCGCGAAAAGTTATGGATAGAGACAACGCTGTGGTTCAGTAATCGAGCGCAGACGTATATGCGTAGAATACTACCGAATAGATGGTGTCTCGATAAGGAAAAAGTACGTATTCAAGAGCGAGTGAGATTCAGATATCCAGAACGAAGCGAGGTACGCCAATTATGTCTGAAAAGCCCAAAGCGAGCGAGCTGATCGATAACGCGGCGAATGTTGTCGACGAGGACGATTTTCGCGCGTGGGATCGTCGATGCGAGGAGTGTTTGGAATCGTTGAGGCATGAATGTCGCAGGTGTCCGAATACTACCGGAACGATCACTTCCCTTGTCGCTTGGATAGTGCTGTTAGAGGGAACGAGGACCGAACTGCGAGGTCGCGTAGTTCGCGCGGGTGCCGGTCACGATGGATTCAGATGGGTGGAGATGGAGACTGCGTTTCAGAGACGGATATTAACCGGTGCGGTAATCAATTTTCGTTACATCGAGCCTAGAGAATTTCTCGAGAACGTCGGAGAAACGGTGATGGAGAAGGTACGCGAGAATTTGGAAAGACACAACTGTGTGAAAGTCAACACGGTGTTTAATGGGAAATTCGTTGCGTTAGAAAAGACCGCTGTAAAGAGCATCGTCACGAAAAATCGACAGCTGTTTCGCACCGCAGATCTGTACGAATGGTACGACACGGTGATGGAGACGACATTGGCGAAATTGGAGGAGTTTCAAGAGCGCGACAGCGGGTGGGCGCTGTCGCGCATACTGAATATAATGATCAACGTAAATATGTGTAATCCTATGCGCGCGGGCTGTTGGATCGATATGCCGCCACAGGTAAAAAAGAAGAAAGCGATCGTGAACGTACGATCGACGGATAACGCATGTTTCGCGCGGGCGGTGGTTGCGGCTTTGTATCCTACCATGACGAATGCCACGAGACGGAATCGGTATCCCGATTATCAAACGGTGCTGAAGCTCGATGGAATAAACTTTCCTATGAATCTGCGACAAATCAGAAAATTCGAACGGCTGAACGAGATATCTGTCAACGTGTTTACCACGAGGGAGGACAAACCGGATGGAAAGATCGTTCCGCTGTATCTCACCGAACGCAAAAGAGATGTTCACGTAAATCTGTTCTATCTGTCGGATCCGCGATACGGCCTCCAGGTGGGCCATTTCGCGTGGATAAGGAATCTTTCGCGATTGGTCGGGTCTCAGTTTATCAAACGAAGAAACAAGAAGTACATTTGTGAGCGGTAAGTATTACGAGGGAGAGAGAGATAGTACATGTGAAGTGCAGACTAATAATCAAATTACTTCCAGATGTCTGCATTATTTCCATTCGATGGAAAGATTGTCCAAGCACAATGTGGATTGCGAAAGGATGAATGACTGCGCGATCATTCTTCCGAACGAGGACAACAGGTGGCTCAGCTTTCGTCATTACGAGCGAAAAGAGAGACTTCCGTATGTGGTATACGCCGATCTGGACTGCGTCTTGGAGAAGGAGCGAGAGGAGAGTGAGTGTGTATCGCGAAGCACATTTACCTATCAACGTCATACAGTGTTCAGCGTTGGCTATTACGTGCGATGTGTGCAAGACGAGAATGCGACGACGACGACGTACAAATCGTATCGCGGTGAGGATTGCATGGCGTGGTTCGTGCGGGAATTGAACGCCCTTGCGCATCGCGCGAAGCAGATTCTGGACGCGGTCGTGACTATGCAGTCGCTTACGTCAGATGAGATGCGTAGCTTTTGGAACGCGACTCGTTGCCACATATGCGGAAAGCCATTCGAGCCGAATGATCGGCGCGTTCGCGATCACTGTCACATACCCGTTACAGGGGTCCGGCTCATGCGCCTTGCAATATAAACTTCAACAATTCCTTCGTAATTCCGGTGTTCTTTCACAATCTCTCGGGTTACGATGCGCATTTCATTGGCTTTGTTTACACCGTAAAATTATTTGATACGTGAACCAAAATGATGCGTACCAAATGTTAAATCCGACTGCGTTTACACCATGTGTATTAAGTGTGCAAAAAAGTACATTAAGGTTAGGTTTGATACAGAAACGTATTATATTTAATTTGGTTGGAAAATCGGTGATCCTTAGATTGCGATGGATTCGGAAAATATTATCAGTTGTTTATTTACAAGCTTAGTCGGACTTTTAAAAATAAGTCAAGATTTTCGAAGAAAACCTCATCTCACCTAACCGTAACGTTCCTTCGATAATTATTATTTAATGCGCTACAGTTTACACCGACACAAAATTACTTGATACGCATACTAAATTGGTACGATACTCCTTTTGCAAGCGTATCGTACCAGTTCAGTACGCTATCGTTTACACCGCTGGACTAAATCAATTTAGTACGAATATAGTACCTCATACGCGTATCAAACGATCGGTGTAAACAAGGCCATTATCGAAGAGATCGCCAACGGTTTCGAGGGTAAAGTGGAATTGTTACCGTTGACCAAAGAAACGTACATCTCGTTTACGAAAGTCGTTCGGAAGACGTCGTCGGGAAAGGGACGCAATTGCGTGAAGCTGCGATTTGTAGACTCGTGTAAGTTTTTAAGCGCAAGCCTCGCGAAATTGGTGTCGTATCTGGACAAGAACGAACTGCGAATAACGCGGTCAGCGTTCTCGAGTCTCGACGACGACGATTTCGAAGTGCTCACGCGCAAGGGTGTGTTCCCGTACGAGTATGTCGATAGCGTCGATCGGTTACGCGAGACAGAGTTACCGCCCCGCGAGGCCTTTTATAGTTCGTTGACTGGCGACAGCGTCAGCGTTACCGACTACGAGCACGCGGTCACTGTGTGGCAACGTTTCCGCATCGGTAATCTCGGCGAGTATAGTGATTTATATTTGAAAACGGACGTTCTATTGTTGGCGGATGTGTTTGAGAATTTTCGTGACAACTGCATGCGGAGTTACGACTTGGATCCCGCTCATTATTACACGTTACCGGGGTACACGTGGGACGCGATGCTAAAATACACAGGTGTGCGATTCGAACTGCTGACCGACGTCGATATGCTCCTCTTTGTGGAACGCGGTGTACGCGGTGGTCTGAGTCAGTGCTCCCACAGATACGCGCAAGCTAACAATAAGTATCTTGCGTCATACGATCCGTTACAAGAGTCGACGTATCTCATGTACTACGATGTAAATAATCTGTACGGATGGGCTATGTGTGAAGCATTGCCGTACGCGCAGTTTCAATGGGTCGATGATGTCAACGCGGAAAGTCTAGACGTAATTGGCTGTGACCGCAGATTCCGATATCGGTTACATTCTTGAGGTTGATCTTGCGTATCCGCGCGAACTTCACGACGCCCACGCGGATCTTCCGTTCTGCCCGGTGCGCGCCCCACCTCCCGGCAAGGTCACCGAGAAGCTTTTAGCGACGCTTCACGATAAGTCGCGCTACGTCATACACTATCGTAATTTGCAGCAATGTGTACGTCATGGGTTGCGTATACTTAAGATTCATCGCGTTTTACAATTCGCGCAATCGCCGTGGCTGCGTGGATATATCGAATTGAATACGATGTTTAGAGTCCGTGCGAATAACGAATTCGAGAGAACTATGTACAAGCTTATGAACAACGCGGTGTACGGGAAGACCATGGAAAACGTGCGCGAGCACGTTGACGTGCGTCTTGTGACGCGTTGGGATGGAAGGTATGGAGCGGAAGCGCTAATTGCTAGGCCGAATTTTCACAGTAGAAGCGTTTTCTCTGAAGATCTGATGGCCGTCGAGTTACGGAAACTCGAGGTGATGCTCAACAAACCGATATACGTTGGCATGTTCATCTTGGAGATAGCGAAAACGCGATTGTACGAGTTTCATTACGAATACATGGTACCGTTATATCGCGGTCTTTGTAACATAATGTACACGGACACGGACAGTCTGATCTATTTTGTCGCATGCGACGACATTTACGAGGATATGAAATGCTTCATCGAAAGATTCGACACGAGCGACTACGCCAAGAACAACGCGTACGATATGCCGCGCGCGAACAGGAGCGTTCCGGGTCTGATGAAGGATGAGAATCGTGGCGCGATTATGGTAGAATTCGTAGGGTTGAGAGCGAAGATGTATGCCGCGAGGGTGCTCGGACAGAGCGATACGAAAAAGGTGAAGGGTGTAAAGAGAAACGTAGTCGAGAGAACGATAACGTTCGACGATTTCACGCGAACGTTGCGCGATATGACGGAGCAATCGAGATCGCAATTCTGTGTGCGTTCGCGACTGCACGAGGTGTATACCGTGTCCGAAACGAAACTCGCTCTCAGTCCTTACGACGACAAGCGATACGTCGTGCCCGAATCGTGCAACACGTTGCCGTGGGGACATTACGGGGTGCCGCAACAAGAAGAATACTACATGTAAACACCTTTATTGTATAATGATAATAAAGTGTTACAATATTTCTGTGTTGTGTATCCACGAATTGTGCGACTTATCCATTCCTAGCCACTTTACGTACGCCTCGTTGCCTTTTCTACGTAGAACCTTCTCCACCAGATAAATGTCGGGATTGGCGACTCGTGATAATTCGTATTCGTAGAAACCTCCAGATATTGGTTGTCCGCGATAATCTTTCAGTAGATACGTCACAGGATTTGTCAGCTGTACCTTGGCGATGCGAAACACCTCTGTAGTCCAATTGGGTGTGTAGCCTTTTTCGAATATCGTTTTGAATTTGCTCACGCGCACCGAATCGTCGATTTTGAATCGTCCTGGAGCGGCTATCTTCGTTCGACTGTACACCGTTTTCAAGAGTTTCTCGGCAGCCTCAGGCGTCACGTCTACGGGTCGCATACGGATCGTTCGATGTACGCGACGATTGTATCTCGACAACAGATTCGGCAGTTCGTTGATCCACACGTACGATCCGTTGAGTGTGAACATCTTCCACATGTCGTTCTTGAGCGTACGATTGAATCGTTCCACCACCGAGGCTTTCATCACGGAATACGTAGAGTAATGGTTGACGCGACGTTGTTGCAATACTTCTCGCACGTTGACGTTGTAGAACTCCTTCCCCTTGTCCGTTTGCAAATTTTTCGGACATCGCTTGCTCTCGCGAAAGAGTTTGGAGAGGGACGTGGCCACTTCCTTTCCACCCTTGCTCTTGAGTGGCACAGCCCACGCGTACTTGCTCAACACATCGATGATCGTCAGTATGTACTTGTGACTCTTATTGAATCGCGAATACGGTTGCATTTCCACCACATCGGCCTGCCACAGATCGTCGTATCCTCGCACTATGACACGTCGGCGTGGAAAGTTCTTCCGCGCCGGAGCGTGCAGCTCCTCCACGAGTATTCGTTTCTCGACGCTCATCGTTCTTTTTTATTCAGGTTATAAAAGATCGAGAAGTTCTTGTAATCGAGGATGTTCTCCATGCTTATTTTGCAATCGCTGCTATCAACTCTTTCACAGCGTTCTGCAGAATAAGATACTGTTTGCTGTGTAAGCCAATATACGTTTCCAGATTCGATGCCGTGTTAGTAACATCGACGACGGCCATATTTATGTCGAGCGTTCCTTTGTCAATTCTTTCGCCGAGTGTTTGTTGCAATGTTTGCAACTTTTTTTCTTGCGCGTCCACGAGTATCCTGTTATTCGCCATGTGCATCACGCTTTGCCCTATCAGGTCATACAACTCCTGTAGTCTACGTTCATGCTTATTCATTGTAGACTGGTTGCTCTCGAGCGTTGTTTGTATCTCTCCGATCCTCTTCTCGAACGTCTTCGCGCTCTCTTCCACTCGATGTGAGACCGCGCGAATCGCAGTATCCACATAGTTTTTACTCGTCGCGTCGTTCTCGGCATGAGGTTCACCTATACGTCGTATCTTACGCGAGCGTCCGTCGTATTCGCCATCAGTGTTTAGTCTCAACGTATTGTCGAGCACGTACTTCCGCAAAGATACCATCGACGAACGCGCTTCGTTCAGAGCGATTGCGTCGTCCTCGTGTCTTTCACGAAACATGCCAAATTTGTTGACAGACATGACGTCCTCGGGTGTGCGAACCGTACTGCTGACACGATCGGTGAAAACGGATTAATTTATAATGAATCCGGCCTCGCGAAGCTCCTCGAGTATCGAAAGAATTTCGTTGTCGTGAGCGGTGTTGCCGGCGAGACGAGAGGAATCGAGCAATCGAAGACGATCTATCAATTCGTTGGGATCGTTCCAGTGAACGTAATCTACTTTGTTATCGGTTACTCTCATGGTTGACGGGACGCGGGTCACACCCGCGCCTTTTTTCTTATCACCGCGAATGAGCGGACCGATAATTGTACTGTACTTGTAACCCTTGTTACCCATGATCGGCATACTCGCGCTGCGACCGCGTCTGTGCGCGTTTGTCGTCAATAGTATACTCTTGTACGTTTGTAAATCGTTTTTGGTGTAGACGAGATCGTCGGGGAGTCGTTTGAAAATCAATTCGTACAGACCGGGAGTACCGACGTACCTCGTTCCATCGATGATCATCGCATCGTCCTTGTCCACGTCGAATCGCTTGTCACCGAGTTTAGTCCCATCCTCGCTGACGTACACACCGTAAACGTTATCGTTCACATTCTTGTTCTCTCCACCGAGAAGATCGCCTATGTATTTTTGTTCCAACGGTCCCAATTGACTATGCAACAAATCGTGACCTTGCGCCGTTTGCAGAGTCTCTCTCGTGGACGTTTCGAGCGAGATCGGCGCCTCATCCGTCTCGTACACCTCTTCTTCCCGTTCCACGTACGGGACTGACGTCGACGTTGTTTCTAGCGACGCGATAGTTGTTCGCGATTCCATCGGTGTAGATCCAAGCATTTTGCGCGATTCTCTTGGCGTGGAACCGATTGCGGTCCCGATCGGTCGCTGTTTCTGTTTCCCTTTCAATGATGCGTCTTGAGTTGTCGCTGTGAAAACATCGTCGTCGTCGTCGTCGTCGTCATTGTCGTCATAATCGTAATCGTCAGCGCTCTCCTTGCGCACTGTCTTCGCGAGAACAGTTCCATCGGATGAGTTTTCGACGCGTTCGGCGATGCGTTTCAACGGTTCGACTATCGGCTTGAAGCGTCTCTCCAGAGCGATCTCCTCCCTCATGGTACCGGTTTTCAGAGCGCGATGTTTCTTCCGAATCGACGCGCGCGTTTTAGCGATCTCCTTCACAGTTCTCTCCTGCTCGGCGGTACTCATCGTTCTGATTGCCCTACAGTACGACGAAGTCGTTAAATCCACGTCTGTATCTGCCGTTTCGCAGTGCGCTGTCTTTATCTATAACCACAAAGCCGTACTTTCGACGCCAACTTTCGCGACATAGCGCGCGAAAGTTTTCGTACGACATGTCGGTGTTCACGTGATCGTTGTATACGTGTTTCATATTGGTTTCATCCTGTCGAAACAGGATCAACAGATTTGCGTTGTCGTGTATTAAATGTTTCGGTATCTTGGCATACGTCTAACAGAGATAGAAACAATCGACTTTCGAATGTCGACCCATGGAAAAGTACTCTCTGATTGTATCCTGCTTATCGCAGACCACGTCGTCGAATATGAATATCGAATCGGAAAGCGCCTCGCTGGGAGGTATGACATCACTATTATTCGAGAATGCGTGATAGCCGATCTCTTCTATCGAGTCGAACAAACGTTCGAGGTATCGATACTTGGGTTGATGCAGGGATTTCGAGTACACGTATACGTTTGAGAAACGTATACCGTGTGGACTCTCCAATAGGCTTATCAACACGTTAGTTTTACCGCAATTGGATGGTCCGCAGATAATGCAGCGTATTGTGTTAGGTAACAAGGATCCGTGTCTGCGCATTTCACCTGCTACCTCCGACATCGATCGCGTTCTACGGTCAAGATTGTGCACCCCAATCGTTGGTGATCGCGACACGAATCGCATTGTGTCTTTCACACGTACTGCGTGCCTGCGCATCGATTCTCTCTCGTTTATACACGATCGGTTCGTCGGTTAGTCGTTCTATTTATACACGGACGATTCGACGGTTCGCGCACAGTTGGCAATATGTTGCTGGCAATGCTGGACAGGCGCGATATTCTCGAGTGGTCTCCCGAACAGTTACGTTTCGTGTCGAAACACGTTCTGTTGGTCTACTTCGGCGACTACGTGGACTGGTTGTGGGATAAACTGGACGTTACGTTGAAAACCGATCCCGAGGTGCAAGGGTATCGCGCGTGTCGCGAGCATTACAACCAACCCTGGCAGGACACGCACGTCGACGGTCCACCACCGCTCGTTAAGGATTGCGCTCAATGTCAGAACGTGCGAAACGAATAGGCGCCGGTCTATTGAACAGAGCGATAAACGCGCTTCCGTTCGAACTGCATGTGCCCGGTTATCAATTTTGTGGGCCTGGAACTCGTCTCGACGAACGGTTGCAGCGCGGTGAGCAAGGGGTGAATCCGTTGGACGCGGCGTGCCGCGAGCACGATATTGCGTACTCGCGAAGCAACAACCTTGTCGATCGTCACGCCGCCGATCGAGTCCTCGCTGAGAAAGCGCGCGGTCGTATCACAGCGAGAAACGCGACCCTTGGCGAGAGAGCCGCGGCGACCGCTGTATGGGGTGCTATGAAGGTAAAAACGAAATTGGGAATGGGTATGAAGAAGAAGAGAGGAAGGAAGTGGGGAAAGAGAGTATTGCCAGCGGCGAAACGCGGAGGCTTGTTGCCCATTCTGCCGATACTAGGGGTCCTCGGGTCTTTGATTGGTGGAGCCGCCGGTGTAGCGAAGGCCGTGAACGACAACAAAGCCGCGCGACGCCAGTTAGAGGAGCTGCAACGTCACAATCGAGCGATGGAGGGTCGCGGACTGTACCTCGCACCGTACAAAAAACACGGAGGTGGTAGTGGTGGGAAACGTAAAACGAAATAAAAAAAACGTGGACGGAGACGCTAGAGGCGCTCGATTTACCGATGTATGACGTCACGACGAGCGGACAATTGAGTCGAGCGGCGCGTAAACTACGCATACCTCACTTTCGAGGGGTGTTTATGCGCGACGATTTACCCGTGAAAGCGCGACGTGAAGAGTGCGGCATCGTGAATCTCGATAACACGGTGGGTCCGGGTACGCATTGGGTTGCATATGCAAAACAGGCGAACGATGCTGTGTACTTTGACAGTTTTGGAAATCTTCGACCTCCGCGAGAACTAGCGCGCTATCTAGAGGACGTAAACATATCGTACAATCATCGGGCGTATCAAACGTTCAGTCAAACTTTCTGTGGTCAGTTGTGCCTACGGTTTCTGTACGAATTCGATTGGACGACACACAAAAAACAACAAAACCGTAACTCCATTCAAGATAAACCTCAGTCGACTCTCGATCGTCATGTCGCTGACGCTCACGC